GGTGTGTGTGGGGGGGGGGGGTCAAATTTTTAAATGTGTCAAAAAGTGACAGTAAAGATAAAAATATTAAGCAGCACAACAATTTCCAAAATTGATAATAATAAATAGAGGTCGACCGATTAATCGGGCCGATTGTGCTGCAAATTAGGCCGATTAATAGGCAGATGGATCTGCGAGCAGCTAAGCGTTGTTGTGGAACACTTGACTCTGCCTCTTGCGGTAAGCAGATTGCCATTCCACCGGCATAACCCCGTGATGTCCCCCTCTGCCTGCTAACGTTTTGAAGAGAACTACCTGGTAACTTCCCAAGAAAATGGTAAGACTTATCATTCATTCTTAATCTAGCCTTATACATTTCATTGGTTAAATATGATGCTACTTTCGGAGAGAGAATGGGAATAACATTTGTAGAGAGAATGCGAGTAACTTTTAGGAACTATTGTTAGCGAGCCTTCAACCAGCTGTAGTTTAGGCTACAAGTAGGCACGGGTACCAAAACCTGGTAATGAGCCTAGTGGCTAAACTATTATAGTAGTCTGCATCGTATAGATAAGCTCCGACATTATCAATTCTGCTTCTGTAACGGAGAATTTCTCAGGTTGCAGAGGATGCTGGAGCAGAAGCGTCCTCTGAACCTCTATCCAGCAGAATATGGCATGTTTACCAAACTAACTGCAGAACAATGGGATATCATCTCAAATTTGATTGATAAACTGGGCCCAATTGAGGAAGTGACTTTTGAGATGAGCAAGGCAGAGGCCTCTATCTCCTGCATCATCCCAAGCACTGCTGTGCTGAAGATGGTGCTTCAGGGAGAGGGTTCCACCACAAGGGTGATCAAAACACTCAAAGCTTGGAGAGATGATTTGCAAACATGGAGGAGACCAAATGTTTGGTGCTGGCAACACTGCTTGATCCTCGGTACAAGGGTCAAGTCTTTGCAGTGGACACACTGAGCAAAGCAAAAACTTGGCTGCAAGAAGAGCACGCCATTGTGTCCAAACAACAAAAAAGAGCCACCAGTGGAGACGAAGGATCAGAACAGGAACGGACAAGGGTGGAAGAAGAGGAACCCGGTCCCTCTGGTCTTCTTGAGCAAATGTATGCAAACATTTTGGGGGCTCATGGAACTCCTGCGGAAGAGAGCGATGAGCATTACATCTCTGAGCAGCAGGACCTCTGTGAGCCACTGACTGACAGACGGACTGGTGTGCCACTGGAATGGTAGAAAACGAATGCATCCCGCCTGTGCCACTGGCAAAGGAATTCCTCTGTCCACCTCCCTCCTCTGTTCCCAGTGAGAGAGTATTCAGCAAGATTGGGATCATCTATGACAAGAAGAGGAGCAGGCTCACAGGAGAAAATGCAGAGAGACTGTGTTTCCTGAACTACAACCTGCAGCTCTTAAAGTGGGAGTACCAAGAACTTTAAGTGATGGATGGGTGGGGTGAAGAAGAGACTCATACCCCTTTTCCATCAGCATGAACCGGATGCTAGTTTAGAGCTAGTGCTATTGCCGGTTCAGAGTTGTTTCGACTGGTGAGCCTTCTAAGAACTGTAGGCATGGGCCGATTACCGGTTTCAAGGTATACCGCGATATGAAAATTTTACAGTTTCAAAACCACTAACATTTTCCGTTATACCGTTCCTGTGGTATGCGCTGTTTTTCATTTCCGTTATACCGTTCCTGCGGTATGCGCTGTTTTTCATGTCTCCTCAAAGACTGAAAGTGTAGGAAGGAATCCCTCAGGTTGAGTGCAGTGTAGAGAGTAACACCCCTCCTGTTGGTGCGAGCGAGCGGTCAGTCACGTGTGTGTAGGATGGCTGAAGGAGCTTCCCCTGGAAATTACGAGATCGGCAACCGGCTGCGTTTTTGTTTTATTGCAGCCGATCTCTGTTCTGAACTTGCACAAATTGCGTTGCAATGCAGTCATTTTCCAAAATGTAATTTATGTGAAAATCGACAACCGACTCTCGTTAACCGACAGGTTTATTTTAAATTAGAATTGAATTAAATTAGAAAGGATAAGTGTCTGTGACCAGTTAAAAAATACTAACATTTGTTTCCCGGGGATTAATTTTACATGCGCAAAAAGCAGCAAACAACAGAACACGAGGATTCACATGGTCATATCACATCATGCACTTGCAGCGCTTCTGCGAGCGGAGAAAAACATCATAAAGCTAGGCTCTATATATACTAGACTTGTGCCGGTATTCGGTAATGCGATATATCACGGTAATTAATGTGCACGATATTGTTATCGGTGGCACTTCTAAATACCGTGAATGCTGTATGCTGCGTGAAAGACGCGTGCGCACTCTGACGTAAACAAGCGCGGACGAGAAGCACATGGCGGAACATGCAAGAGACGCGCTGGATGAAAGCGCACTTTCACTCTCTGACAGAAGATGGCAATTAACTGCAGAAATAATAATATGTACACAAATAAAGGCAAACCTTTTACAATTCCGATTATCTTTAGGACTAAAAGGAGTTTCTTAGAAGGTTTCTTCCACTGGTAGAAGGAAACAAATTCAAGTGATTGCGCTGGTGCCGCATGCGCGCACAGTTAAGCATTGCTACCTTCACTATGCAGCCTGTTCATTATCATAATATATATATACAGTCAGTCAAACACATGGAAAAAACTATGTAGTAAAAAAAATCTGTAGTAAAATCTGTTAAGCCGTTAAGGTTAAGTGTTATCACTGTACCGCCTGATGTTATGCAAAACATTTTGTTTTACGTGGATATTGGAACGCGAGTGAAGTACATAATAAATATTAATTTGCCATTCAAATAGCCTACGCTACATCGTGAATACGGATATATTTGATTTTGTGAGGAATCAACGTTGGTTTCAGTTTCGTTTTAACCTAAATTAATTCGTTTTGGCTTGTCGTTTATATTGCTATAGCTTCTTATATTTTTAATTCTTGTTCTTTTCTAAATACTGTTAATTGAAAGGATTTGTTGCGGAGTGAGGGGAACTAAAATAGCCTAGCTATGTTTACAGTGTTTATTATAATGTTTGTAAACATTTCGCGTCGGCATTAGGCCTATTTCTGAATGAAATAATAAAATGCGACTTATACGCAACTTATGTTTTTTTTTTCCCTAAAAAACACAATTTTTATACACATAGCGTATTTTAACCATGCAGCAAACCGTTTTAAATATTTTGATAAATTACTGAAAAAATAAATAATTAAATGACTTTTTAAACCGTTTATAACTGATTGTATTAATCGGTCAAAATTCTTACCGTCGGTTAACCGGTTAAAATGAACATCCCTAATTTGGGGGATTATACAAATGTGTTTCTGAGGGGAACTGACTGTCTTCAGAAAAGTTTAGATGGTATTTTCTTTTCATCTCGTCTCTGTATACTTCACATCAAAGCAGTGTTTCAGAGCAGCAATGCTTTATCTGCTGTTCCAGAAGCGCCACCTGCTGTCAGAGAGTGAATCTGCATCTCATTCAGCTCGTCTGCTGTTTGTTTCGTTCAGGCATGTAGTATCATTTCAAAAAGCTAGTCAGAACATTCTGTTTTTGAATCAAATTGGGTTATTATTAAATCAAATTATGTATATGAAATGATATAACTAAATGATATTAAATGATATGTATATGAATTATATAACTAAAATTAAATAACTGTAATTACACATTTAGGTTCAATAAAGATGTCAGTCTTTATTTTTCTTCTTTTTAGGGCAGCAGTAGCGCTAGCAGCAAATCAACCATCCACATCAAAAGCTGCAGGACAGCCCACAATTCAGCAAACATTTCAGAAACAAATCAAAGAAAAAATAAACAAATACTACTGTTCCAATTATTCTGTATGTTATGTTGCTCAGAAATGAAATATATTGTTTAGTGGGAAAAAAAAAAGTTTTTTCTTTCTTTCTTTTTTTTAAAGACATAAAAATAACACATTTTAGAGCTGTAACAATACCGTGATATTTTTGCTTAATGTTATCATACCGTCAAAATCTCATACCGGCCCATGCCTAGACCACTGTTGTTTTTGCTTAAATCGCGTCCATCGTGTTTAGCTGCCATTTCAAAAATGGCGGTCAAAAGTTCCTGTTCGTCTTGTTGGTCACGGTAACCTCGCCCTCAGCCCCTGACGCAAACGGTTCTTACTTCTAGACCAGCAATGTTTTGGTGCTACTTACAAACCACTTTTCCTGGTTCAGATCTGGTGCTTTGGTTGTCGAAAGACAAAGAATCGATTTGAAACTAGGCTCTGGCTCAGAACCAGCACTCAAACTGCCTTGGTGGAAATCTGGTACTGGAACTGGAGCTAAAACTAAAGATAATGTGCACGTTGTTGTATTGTTTACAAACTTCCCTCAGTAATGGCGATTATCTATTGCTGTTGATTACTTGAGAACTTAAAAAATAAGTGCATACTT